CCCTGACACAGCTGCCACAAGGAGGCTCACCTGCCCGCCAGGCACCAAAAATCCTGCCCAGGTAAGAATGTGGGCTGTGCCGGGGTTCGGTTTTGCCCCAGAGAGCAGAGCCAGGCTGTAGGGTGGCATGGGCACTGGGAGGTGGGGGTCCCCTATGAAATCACGGCACCTAAGCCAGCGCTGGTGTTTCTGGGCAGTGGGAAGGATGGATGGATGGTTTATTCATGAGCTTTACCTGCACACATACTGTCCGATGGCTGGTGGTCCCCCTTCGCCCCAGCTGCAGCCACGGTGTAGCCAAGGGGTGGCAGGACGGTGGCCAGTGCCCCCCAGGGCAGTTCACAGCCACCTGCATGGCAGCAGCACAGGTCAAGGCAAGGTGCTGCCTGTCGTGCCTTAGGGACACCCAAAGCCTCCACCAGCTCTTCCTCACCTGGGATTAACGTCCCCACACCACAGGCAGGGACATGGGCTTGTAACGAGCACAAGGCGCGCGGTCCTCGGTAGCAGTGGGTCCCTGGAGCAGCCACGGCTCTGGAGAGCCCGGCCAACGTGGTCCATGAGGCATGGCGGGGCCAAGGCCACCTATTTCCCATGGCCCCTCCAGCAAGGACACACAGTTGTCCCCATATGGCTGTCCTGCTGCTCCTGCCCTGCCACATCCACCGGGGCACATCCAGCACCGTGCATCCAGCCTGCTGTGTCCATCGGGACACTTCCATCTCACCACCTTCGTCCTGCTGTGTCCATTGGGGCATCTCCATCCCATCACCTCCATCCTGCCACATCCATGGGGCCCAGGACTGCTCCTGCCACGGGGCAGGAAGTTTTTGCACGGCCCTGTATCACTGTGTGTTTTCGGGCCCGGGACCATGTTGACCGTCCTAGGTAAGTCGCCGACTTCTTCTCGGTCTTTCCTTCCCCACCGCGAAATTGTGACATTTTGTCAATTTTCGGTGATTTGGGGTTTTTTTCTCGGACTTGGCGCTGGGCAGGGGTCTGCCGCTGGTTCGGGGATGGGCACTAAGCGCGGCGTTGTGGGCTGTGTCTTGTCCCTGCAGACTCAGAGGGCTCTGGTGCACGCCACGGAGGATTGGGGGGTATTTTCTCAATTGAAAGAACTTAAAATTTGGCCAGGAAATTTGTCTGAGGTCTCAGGGAACCTATTTCAGAAACTCAGGTTTAGGTCTCTAAGAAAGTCAATTTTTGTCTTTGTTAAAGAAATTAGTCATTAGTCTAAGGTCGAAGGTCTAAGTCCTCAACTCTTAGTCCTGAGGACTAAGTCTGTCACCCTCGGTGAGGAGCAGGGGCTTCTCTGTGGAGTCTCGCGGCCGAGGGTGCGGGTGCTGCGAAATGGCAGCCCGTCCTCGGCCGCGAGCGGGCTGAAGTCACATCCAACTTTGTGTTAAAATGGCACATCCCTGGGATCTTAACCAAAACTTTTCAGGGGTGTCTTAAAGAGCCCGTTGTCCAGGTAATCCGTGTCAAAAATGGCGATTACTGTGTTGAAAATGCTGCCGGGAACATCGTTTTGTCAGTCTTTGTAATTTTTAAAAGAATTTGGCCAAAAACCCCAATCTATCTGAACTAAATTACTAAGGGGCATAAGATCGAGAAAAATGCAGTTTGCCAATTTCTTCAGTAGAAAGTTTTTAATGGCGGAGTCCTCCTGGTTTTTGAATAGAGATAGAGATAGAGAGATAGAGACATTGTACATTTGAGGAGGCAGCAGAACCACCCTGGAAAGACCAAACATCTTTTTTCTGTCTTCCTTCGGGTGATTCTTAGTTGTACTTTTTCTGAGACAAGTCTGAAAGTGTCTGAAAGCAGAACTGCGCAGAAAAAAGGATGGTTTGTCTTTGAAATTTTGATTTTTTAAAAAATTGCCTTGCAAAAGGAAGGAAATGGGTTTATGGCAACTAACCAGAGATTTTGGTTTTTTTATATATATATATTATATATATGAGAATATATATAATATATAACATATATATGTTATATATGAAAAATATATATACATACATAAATATGTATAATATATAAATGATCTATAATTATACATATATTTCTATAACAATATATACTACATATATATGTAGTATATTGCATATTTTATGTATGTAATATATAATATACATGTATATGATGTATATTAGCTGTATATATAGATATCTATA